CCACTCGTGAAAACAATTTCCTTATCGTAATGGATTGATTTCATAACAAAAAGAAATGTCAGTCTACTTAATTACGTGTCGGTGATAATCAATGTCTTTTCAAATACGCATGTATTGCGAATTATTACAAAGAATGGTCCTCCATAAACTTAACCGGAATGAAAAAAGGGGGGAAAATCTACTATATAGTAGGTTTTCCCTGGGGGTAATCGGGCTATAAAAGAGGGGAAATCCCACTATATAGCCATCTTTCCATGGGGGAAAATCTACTATATAGCCATTTTCCCGGGGGGGAAAAACTACTATATAGCCATGTTTCCGGGGGGAAAGATGGCTAGGGGGAAAGGCTACTATACAACACCGTAAAACAAAGTAAGGTATGCCCTTGAGCTGAAGCGATTTCGTTGATGGTTCTTATAAAAATGTGTAGTAATTTTTGTGCAAAATTTTAGCAAGAATATTGAGAAGTGTTGAAAAAAATTGATGAAATTTTTGCACTGTTTTGACCTTTGACCTCCTAAAAATAGTTCTAATGAGGTCAAACTTTAGAACAAATTTATCTGCTGTATGTCCTTAAGACTTCACATCTAACTTTAATATGTGCTGGGGTGCATAAATCTGTCTAGGATGAGTGAAAAACAAAAATTACTGCCCGAAAATTGAAAAATTCTGCGTTGCTAAGCAACTATTTTAAAGGAAATATATGCAGAATTGAAAAAAAGTTGATGTGTTTCATTTAGTACAGTATAATGCCCTTTTATGGGTATATCCCAAATTTCCTATTTCAACATACATCTACATATTTAGCTTGAAGATTAAATAGTATCTAAAAATTCCTTAAAATTTTGCACTTAATTGACATTTGACCTACATTTTTTACTAATAAGGTCAGTCGTTGAGTATCTGAATAGCATAGAATATCATCTCTAAGAAATTCCCTACAAAGTGGTATGCATTATACCTAGCTTTCTCCTTGGATAAAAATGTTACAAATATTTTTATAATGCCATATCAAAAGATCTCAGAAATCACGTAAAATGCGCCGGTACAGAAAGGGTTAACCAAGACCACTGTGATCATGATATATGTGAACTTGAAACCATCTACAATGACATTTTACAGCAATGTCAGAAAGAAATAACTGAGATCTGGAAAACAGTCATTCATAAAGCTCTTTATAATGTTGAAACAATTGTGGAAAAGAGAGAAAATATCAAGAAAGACATTGCCGAGTATAGCGTTTCCATGTAGAAGAGAGCAGATGTGCTGACGATAGCTGTTGACAGTATACTAAATGATAATAATAAAAAACTGGATGCGATCGAGGTCTCTGTCCTAAATGAAATGGTGGAACAACAGAAGGAGACAAAGGACTACATAGATTACCCGGAAAAATGATTTCAGACTATGAGAGTAAATTGTCTTCAATAAAACACACTGAACTCATGAAATTACATTTAACCATTTTATTGACTACCCTGAAGATGCCTAACAAAGTTACACCTAAACTGCCAATTTTAACATTAGGTAAACTGAATAAGGCCACACCAATAACAAGAGGCCCAGGGGCCACAGCGCTCACCGGAGCACATCAGGCTTGAATTACTCCACCCCCCCCCCCTCCAGGCGTTCATCATTTGAACAAACTAGAATCTACACTACCTGAGGATGATTCCGCATGAGTTTTATCTTTCTTGTCCTAGTGGTTCTGGAGAAGAAGATTTTTAAAGATTTTTCTTATATATTCCTAGGAAAATTTGGGTCGGCCATTTTGGCCCCACCCTTGCCCCGGGGGTCATGACTTGAACAAACTTGAATTTACACTACCTGAGGATGATTCCACATGAGTTTCATCTTTCCTTGTCCAGTGGTTTTGGAGAAGAAGATTTTTAAAGATTTTTCCTATATATTCCTATGTAAAACCTTTTTAGGGTTAATAAGTAGTCTAGTGTAGGTGTGCGGAACGAAGGTCATTTTGCGCGCATACACATGCACGTGCATGCGCGTGAAATGGTTGAAATTACTGATATATTTCGTATAGCCATAACTTTTACATTTTTTGATGAAATGCTTTGATTTCATTATATAAGGATATATTAATAGTGTTAATAATATGACACGGTCAAATTAGCATGAACTCACGCACATGCACGTGCACCTTCCTCTGTGTGACTGAAACAAAAATCGCAATATCTCGTTTGTTTTTTGACAAATTCCTTTGAAATTTTAAACATTGTCATGAATTAGGATATCCTACAATATAATATGGAAAAAAAATTCATGAAATCACGCGCATGGACGTGCGCTGCAATCTGATTGGCTGAAACTTTAAATGACTATATCTTCTTTGTTTTTGACGAAACGCTTTGAAATTTAAAACATAGTCATGCATAAGGATATCCTGCAATATAATATACAAAAAATATCAAGAAATCACACGTGTGCTGCAATCTGATTGGCTGAAACTTTAAATGGCTATATCTCCTTTGTTTTTTGACGAAATCCTTTGAAATTTAAAACATAGTCATTCATTAGGATATCCTACAATATGATTTAGAAAAAAAATCATGAAATCACGCGGATGCCCGTGTGCTGCAATTTGATTGGCTGGAACTTGAAATGACTATATTTCCCTTGGTTTTCAACCAAACAGGCTGGGATTTAGAACATAGATAGATATACGGGCCTACTACAAGAAGTTATGGTCATCATTCACGTGCACGCACGTGCGTGCATTTGGAACGAGAGATATTAAAAATAAACTTAAATGAGTGATTTCTAATACTTTTGGACTGAATGCTTCAATATATAGTATATATATAAATTTATAGAAAGTGTAGACAAGATGATATGATCATAACGCACGTGCATTCACATGCGCACGCGTGTAGTGTTAAAATTTGAATACAATTGGTATCCTTCTAGGAAAACGTTGTTAAAGTCAAAAATGCACATATGTTGTCTTATTTAATAAAGCTTACATGGAATATGGCACCAAACGGGATTTTGGGGAGCGTTTGGGGAACATCTGTAACGGTTCACGTTACAATTAGCACTAGTTCGATATAATTTGTGTTTATTAAAAAAAACTTACCATAGTGCAATCTATTTTTTTTTTAATTCCCACAAACAGAGACTTACTTTGACATTGATCTATAACATACCTGCAGATACTTCAATCTCCAGCCTCTAACAAAGTCAGAGCATTAGAAATCAAGGCCAGGGACTCAAACACCAACTGTGGAATGAATCAGTAAATCTGACTAATATTCTCCTTTTTAAAAGATACATTATTTTGATGGAATTATTGGAATCAAGGTCAATATTTCATTCATCAACCAATATTCTTAGATTGTTTAAATTATTAACATTTTTAAAGAGCCGGTATTATTTAACATTTTTATTTTCAGTCTTTGCTCTTCTGTTATTTAAATAACAGTTACTGTGCGTGTTTTAGTCTAGCCCATTTATTCTCTTATTATTCAATTTCTGCACTTATACAAAGGCGGCATGGAGATTTAAATGTTTTGTCATTCGGTTCACCTCAACAATTTACATTACCCTGGCCACAATGCGTTTTTTTATAGCAAGAATTTAATTACATTCTCCTTGGATACACATCATACATTACAAATGGCTAACATTTATCATGACTGTGAGGTATTGTGAAAGAGACTTATCTACTAGATTTCTGAAAAGGTAAAACTTTGTACTTTAAATAGTGTTGAGCATCGGCATATTGTAAGATATACCCACTTATAAGACTAGTATCTTAATTACCTACACGTATTCTGATAATAAATATTTCGTAGAGTTTTCATCAATAACAATGGTTGAAGTACCAGATACAGCCCAGCACTATATCGAGTGTGACACGGAATCCTGTAAGAACTTTTCTGAGTTTTACTGTAATACCTGTCATCAGCGAATCTGTGACCAATGCAAACAACGCCATATAGATCAGAAAGATAAACATGAGATAGTGCTCTATCACGAAAGAAAGAGAAAACTTATTTCAGAAAAATGCAAGATCCACTCGACACAAGATATAAATGTCTACTGTGATGATTGCCAGGTTCCAATTTGTTCAATGTGCTTTGCCCTACACCACTGTGTCCATGAACAAAGTGACCTTGAAACCATCTACAATGACACTCTACAGCAATGTCAGAAAGAAATATCTATGATTTGGAAAACAGTTATTCCTGAAGCTAAAAATAATATTGAATCAAATTGGGAGAAGACAGAAAATATCAAGAAAGAAATGGCCAAGTATAGAGTTTCCATGAAAAAGAGAGCAGATGAAATAAAGAAGGCTGTTGACAGTATACTAACTGATAATAATAAAAAACTGGATGAGATCGAGAATTCTATACTTAATGAACTGGTGGAATATCAAAAGGAAACAGAGGGTTACAGAAATTTCCTAGAAAAAATGATTGCAGACTATGAGAGTGAAATATCTTCCGTAAAATACACTGAACTCATGAAATTCCATTTAGACATTTCATTGGCTACCCTGAAGATGCCTACCATATCTGAACCAAAACTGCCAATTTTAAGATTAGGTAAACTAAATAAAGAAAAATTAACCAAACAGTTTGGTGAAATTAAAGCAAATTCACCTGAAATGTTTAAGCTTTCTTTTGTCACAAAAGTAAGTGAAAAAAGTATTCAGGAACCTGGACCTTTCCATTTGTCTCCTTTGCCCCCCAATAAATTTTGGGCTAGTGATAACTTTAGAAGTCTCATTCAGTATGACATGGAAGGACACATCCTACATGAAATATCCACAACTATTTTGGATTTCCAAGGTAACCACACTGTAACAACAGAGGGAGAACTTCTTTACACAGATTACCGTAAACACACAGTCTACAGAGTAACTAGTGACATGTCCACTAAGAAATTTATCCAGACAGGGAGCTGGGTACCTGGAGCCATCTTCTCTTCTCCTATCAATGGACACATATTGATTGGGTTGGAGAGAAAGTCAGCCCAGAAAATAACCAGATACAACAAAGAAGGAAGAAAGTTACAGGACATACAGAGTGATGATAAAGGACAAACCCTTTTCAATTGTGTTAACTTTATCACAGAGAATATCAATGGTGACATTTGTGCATCTGACTGGAGAGCCAGAAAAGTAGTGGTGGTGACAGCATCAGGAGAGTACCGATTCTCTTACTCTGGTCAGCAGTCTCAGTCTGGATTCCTTCCCCATGGAATCTGTACAGATGTTTTGGGGCACATTTTGGTGTGCAATGGCTTTTTAACATTTGATGAGAATTGTTCCAGTGTCCACCTCCTGGACAAAGATGGCCACATTCTGTCTTTCTTACTCACACCAGAACAATGTCCTCCATATCCCCGTGCTCTCTGTATTGATGATCAACACAATCTCTGGGTTGGGGGAAGGGGCAGTTCTACTGTCTCTGTGTACAAGTATTTGCAGAGAACAGAAAAATGATATTTTATTTACTGTATTATATTTATGCTTGATCAGTTTGTGTAACAAACAACCTCTCCTAGTTAGACATAAATGTTAATGGAGAAATAAATAACGAAAAGATTAATAAGTCACACAAGTAAGTTCACCTACCTCCAGCATATGAAATTCCAGAATTTGTAATATGTATACACATATTATTGTGTGTTTTCCTAATGATCACTATAATTATAATTTTTCAATACACATGTCATATTTTTTGTTCTTTTTATTACTTTTATAAAATTGGCCAGTTTGTTCTGTTTGCTCTGAACATTAATTGTCAATGAGCATTTGAAAAGTCAATGTTGCTTAAAGCAATACATGTGTGAGCTGCATCCTTGAGAATTTTATTTTGCTGGTAAATTGTGCTATTATGATTAATTTGTATGTAATTTAAACCCTGATGACTTAAAAGCCAAAAATAAAGTTTTAAAATGTTTCAAAAGAGATATTTCTGTACAACCGAATATATAGTTTTATATAGGAAATCATTATTGTACCGGACGACAATAATTCAATTTTGCTTCAGTTGAAGCTAATAAAAATAATTCCGTTGCAAATATAAACAAAAGAAATTTATTTATAAATGATTTTTTTTTTCTGTCATTAAATTACTTTATTACAAATTTGCAATCAAATTTTCCGGTGTCAAACATGCAGCTCATATTGCTTTAACAGCTGTCAAATATTAAAGAATGTCATGTACATTATTAAAAGTAGCTTAATAAAACTGGATCCTAGGTAATAATTTTAGTGTCTGATTACATCCAATCTTTCCCTGGTATTATCAACATGATCAATACTTGATGTCGTGCTCTGAGGGGATGAGGACCAGTTAAACCACCAGTTAAGTCCCTTAGCGGACGTGTTTGTCAACAGTTGTTGGTACAGATCACAAAGTATCTCACACAAAGTGATCCTGACAGCTTCCTGTAAACATATATAAAATTTGCATATCATAATGATTACATTTTTATTGTCCAGTAGAAAATGCATGTGCATAATTTGGCATTATTCAAAATTTAGCTTAATCACTCGGTTTGGAATTGTTGTTGTCATCTTAAGTTAGCGCTACATATATACATGTATGTCCTTTCAGTGTATTGTACAATGTACATGTAAATGATTTTTTAGTGATTTTGATAAATTAGCGCATTTTTTCTGCGTCAAAGCTGCAAAAATATGAAGCCCGCTTTTTAAAGTATTACGTTACTTAGATCTTTGCTTTTCCTGTGTATTCAATATCAATTCTTTCATCATTTACAAATTTACGATGGCCTCGCTTTCGTTATAAATCCCTTTATTACCTGACATTTGTCTTCAGACTTTGCTTTCAGTTTTGTTAAAACTATTGGTGATACAGGAGTTAACTGGCTCCCATAGTTAACGAATGTCCCTATCTCTGATGAAGCAGTACATTCTAATGATGTCAAAATTCCATTGAATAGCTTCAGCTCAGCGAGAACAAACGTGTGATTATGAAGAGGCCAAAGGTCAACATGCTTTCCAGATGTTAATTGGCTGCACAGTGACAATCAATTGTTGTATTGTGATTGGTCTATTTCCATCGCATTGTCCCCTGCCTTTATATCCTCTCGTTTTAGATTATACTGCTGAAAGAGTATTCTAACCTTTGCAATGACCATTGTCTGAAAGTTGATAAATCATTATATTGCAAATAGTAGTGCAAATGAGAAAAAATCATGAGGTTAAAATCAAAATTGGGAGGACATGAATAGCAGTACACAATGTCACTTGAGAAACTTTGCTAACAGCTACAAGAGAATTTCCCTCTTACAAAAAGAATTTATTTTGTGTTAAATGAAAGCAATATTCATACCAAATATATTTCCAGTTTTTACTTTAAGCATTGCATTCATTATTAATGACACAAGTTCACTCCTCCTGTCTAGATGTAATTGGATTTTATATTCCATAATGAGGTCAACAGCTTCTCTATGGATGTCAGACAGTTTACAGAGGTCACTCAGGGTCAAGCAGTCCTCAGACTCACTCTGGGTTCTTTAGGGAGATGGGTGTCCATGGGAGTTCCAGAACCTGATGTAACAATCTGTCTCCCCATATCCTGACAGCAAAACTTCTCCTACCTGGTACAGATGTGGAAAACACTCCATAAACCTACAGGGAGAAAAATGTGTTTAATAGTCATTACAAAATATCTGTGGTTTTCCATCTCACTGTTGAAGAATATTACATGTAGAATAACATAAGTTTTCACTGGAAATGCCAAAAATCAACAATCATCACAGATTTCATTTAATTCTTAATTTTTGTCTTTAAAAAAATTGATTTCAATGAATTTCAATGGAATATTCAAATAATGACTTCTTTTTAGTAATTTAACCAAGTATTGACATGCCATTGTAGTAAATCTAGTACAGAAATATCCCATTCCTTGGCTAAGTTCTTTACCTGTCACCCATTACAGGCAGTAATTTGTCCTTGACCCAGGAGTAGAACAGAATAATTTTGTTAAGGTCATGATCATGTGTATAGGTAACCAAGGACTCCCTCATCCTAGCAACTCAACAGACCTTGTCCATCACAAAGGGACCATTACTATTTTTATTTCAATGAAAATCCAGATTTCTATAGATACTTAAATGTTTTGAAAATTGGGAAGTGAATAAGTCATTTGAATACATGTAGTTATATGGGTCAAGAAGACTGAAAACTCAGTTACATACCTTAATTACATGTATGCCTTGGAAATCCTTGTTTTTACCTAGGTGGCTGAATTGGCATATATTTCTTACTATTCAAATGAAGCTAAAGTGAAGCCAAAAACGAACTGAATCACGTGGGTTAGAGGGGTGAGTTCAATACTATAGAGGAATCGCCCGCGTGGCGCAGTGGTTAGAACGTCTGCTCTAGAGTCGTGAAGTAAGGAGTCAATCCTTACGTCGCAGGCTTGAATCCCACTGTTGGACGTGGAGACCGGTCCTTCGGATGAGACCGTGTAAACCGAGGTCCCGTGTCGCAGTAAGTGTTGGCACGAAAATGATCCCTCCCTACTCAATGGCCCTAAGTGCCGAGCATAGGACAAAATTTGCAGCTCTCCACCGGCAAGTGGTGGCGTCTCCATATGAGGGAAAAATTCTCGAGAGGGACGTTAAACAATATACAATCAATCAATCATCTCTCTACACCAGACACTCTCTCTCTGCTCTCTCTGTCCCTACAACAGATGTTAGAGAGTTAAAGGGAAGTACTGAATAGTTCAAAGTCATGATCTCTTCTGCTTGACGACACAAAAGGTCGATCATCCTGAAGGTGTCATGGGGCACGGGCTCAACAATGTCAAGAGTCTGGTGCTGAAGAAAAACAGAAAAATTAAATGATCATGGTAAGTTCCAAGTGTTAGCAATGCATACTTTCTCAAACTTATCAAAGAGAATGTCGTAAACTATTGTAAAGTGTCGTTATAAGAGAATAATCAAAGCAATCAAAGTTCAGAAAGACAATTGTGTAATAGTTCTGTTGAATTGGTTGTAAAAATACTTATTTTCTTTTTGTCAGCCGATGCAAGGCACCACTAGGCACCATTTTAGGGGGTGTTGCTAAAACGCGGAACGGAAAACGGAACGGAAAGCGGAACGGAACGGAAAACGGAAAATTTTTTTCAAACAAATAACATAGATTCGATATAAATCAGATAAAAGAGCAATATTCTTGTTGTAAAAGTCATTTCTCTAATAAAAATTTATTGTAAACTATTACATATTCATGAGTCATACACACCCTCCGTGGAAAAAATGGCACTGAAAGAAATTCGACCCCCCCCCCCCACTCACACACGTAATAGCATTTTCGTGTTCGGGCAAAGGACATATCCCCCTTTTTTTTGCTTGTCAAATTTATTGTATGTTGGAAATTTTTTACTGACCCCCCACCCCCTCTTTCAATTTGTTTCCAATATCCATGGCAAAAATAACTAGTTATGATATTCAGATTATGCACGCATTGTCGAATTCGCGAATCATAAAAGAGGGAGTGGAGTTTCTGGTCTGTGTAGGGGCCCAGAGTTACATTAAAAATTGATTTATTTAAGTTTATGTATATTTTGGACACAAAAAGGGGGACAGACCTATTACAACTTCACAGACCTTTCCGATGAGCGGAAAAACAAACTTATTTTTATGGGGTCATTCATATACACCCCCCCCCCCAAACACACACACACACATATGTACCGCAAACAAACAGAATTTAACTTCATTGAATGCAAAGATTACGCATTATATCTACCACATGAAAGTTTTCCAACTCTGTCTATCCAGAATTTAAATATATAGATAGCGACTCAATTTTGAATAAAATTTTAACAAGTGTGTATAAGAGATGTTTATTCGAGCTTGCCGTAAAGGTTTGCCCTAAAACGTACTCTTAATAATTTTTTTTTTTACATTTTATTTCTCTTTCCATGGTTCATCTAGATATCAAATATTTGTTCCACCCCCCCCCCCTTTCCAGCCATAACCTTTTTATTACGGAAATATTCGTTCAAGTTGACATCCTCACTCACACTTTTTGTGAATGTAATTAATGTAGTAAGTTAGTGTAAAAAAAATAGTAATGATAGATGTTGGAGTTGCAACTTATTCCCCCTCCCGAATCAAACAATTGTCTTCTTCTTGTGTTTTTCCTTGTCAAATACTTTTCAAGTTCGTTTCCCCCCTTTTTCAAATTCGATTCGAGGTGACTGCTATGTGAGCCATTTTCCTAAATATATAAGAGATTGAGTACGTCAAAATCAACTTGTATTCAATTGTGGGGGATTGAATATGTACAAGATATATTTTTTATGATAAAATTTGTGTATTTTAAGTGATTTAATCCAAAATAATATTTTTCGTTTTCCGTTCCGTTCCGCTTTCCGTTCCGTTTTCCGTTCCGCGTTTTAGCAACACCCCCATTTTAGGAGTGAATATTTTCCTTCGACCGGTCACTTCAGCAATGAACCTTTTGTCATGATAAGGAAATATCGAAAAAACGGATGCCTTATAATATCTATCATGAAAGGTCAGTCACCATTTGTCTAAATGACAGATTGGATTTGCTGATACGGTCATTGTATCAAATTAATACCGTATGAAATGAAGACA